TTGTTTCCATGGTATCCAATGTCGTTGATGAGCGGGTGCCCGAGCGAGTATCTATCTTTTGTGAGTACCTCGACGTTTTTCCTGATGATTTGCATGGAGGACCGCCCGATCGCCAGGTGGAGTTCACTATTGACCTAGTCCCAGGAGCCGGCCCCATTTCTAAGGCCCCTTATCGTATGGCGCCGAAGGAGATTCAAGAGCTCAAGGCCCAGATCCAGGAGTTGCTTAAGCTCGGTTTCATTCGTCCGAGTGTCTCACCGTGGTGTGCGCCCATCCTTTTCGTAAAGAAGAAAGACGGATCTATGCACATGTGCATTGACTATCGGGAGTTGAATGCCCTTACAGTCAAGAACAAGTACCCCCTTCCCCGTATTGAGGACCTTTTCGACCAGCTGAGAGGAGCCAGCGTCCTCTCAAAAATTGACTTGCGTTCTGGCTATCATCAGCTGAAGATCCGGGAGTTGGATATTTCTAAGACTGCTTTCCGTACCCGCTATTGCCACTATGAGTTCGTAGTCATGCCGTTCGGACTCAGCAATGCCCTAGCCATATTCATGGACCTTATGAATAGGGTCTTTCATCCTTTCCTGGACCAGTTCGTCATTGTGTTCATCGACGACATTCTGGTCTATTCCCGAGACATCGATCAGCACAAGGAGCATTTGAGGATTGTGTTGGAGACTCTTCGCCGCGAGAAGTTGTATGCTAAGTTCTCGAAGTGCGAGTTCTGGCTGAACCGTGTGGCATTCCTTGGCCACATTGTGAAAGCTCGAGGCATTGAGGTGGATCCCAGCAAGATTGAGGCTGTGAGCAAGTGGGATACGCCAAGAAGTGCTGCAGATGTTCGTAGTTTCCTGGGGTTAGCAGAATACTACAGGAGGTTTATCGAGGGCATCTCGAAGATAGCCCAGCCACTGACCAACCTTACGAAGAAGGCCATGAGGTTCGATTGGAGTCCTCAGTGCGAGGAGAGTTTCCAGGAGTTGAAGAGGAGACTCACTACCGCGCCTGTCCTATCTATACCCGACCCTACTTTGGAGTTCACCATCTATAGTGATGCTTCGAAGATGGGTTTGGGATGTGTCCTTATGCAGCAGGGGAAAGTCGTAGCCTATGCTTCGAGGCAGCTGAAGCCTCACGAGCAGAACTACCCCACTCATGATCTCGAGTTAGCGGTAGTTGTCCACACCTTGAAGATTTGGCGGCACTACCTCTATGGAGGCAAGTGTGAGATCTTTACCGACCACAAGAGCCTAAAGTACATATTCACTCAGAAGGAGCTGAACATGAGGCAGCGTAGATGGTTGGAGCTGGTCAAGGACTACGACTGCACCATTAGCTATCACCCTGGGAAACCTAACGTGGTAGTCGATGCCCTTAGCAGGAGGAGTTATGGCCAGCTGTCTTGCTTGTTCACCAAGCAGAATGTTCTTCTTCGGGAGTTCGAGCGATTACAGTTGGAGGCAGTAGAGTCAACTTCGGCAGCCGGGGGCATGTTGGCCTCTTTAGTTGTGGGACCGACTCTTCGAGAGAGGATAGTCGCTGAGAAATCGAATGACCGTTTCCTATGCCGGATGAGAGAGTTGTCGGAAGCCGGTAGAATTGGTGGATTCGCAGTCGCATCTGATGGGGCCTTGGTCTTTGAGGGTAGACTT